AGTTAGGGGAGATTTTTTCAGAGTGGAACAGGGGAGAGCTGGAGAGCTTCCTGATTGAGATTACGGCCGACATTTTTAGGGTTAAGGATGATTTGGCGGATGGGTTTTTGGTGGATAAGCTGCTCGACAAGACGGGGATGAAGGGGACCGGGAAATGGACGGTCCAGCAGGCAGCGGAGCTGTCGGTAGCTGCGCCCACCATTGCTGCTTCCTTGGACTGCAGGTACTTAAGTGGGTTGAAGGAGGAGAGAGAGAAGGCCGAGGAGGCTCTGAAGCTGGCAGGGTTTAAGGAGGAGATTGGCAGCGTGACGAGCGGCATTGATAAGAAGCGGTTGATTGATGATGTGAGGCAGGCATTGTACGCTTCGAAGATATGCAGTTATGCTCAAGGGATGAACTTGTTGAGGGCCAAGAGTGTGGAGAAGGGTTGGAATTTGAATTTGGGGGAGTTGGCTCGTATTTGGAAAGGCGGTTGTATTATCAGAGCGGTGTTCTTGGATCGGATCAAGAATGCTTACCAGAGAAATCAGAGTTTGCCAAACTTGATTGTTGATCCCGATTTTGCTAAAGAAATGGTGCAGAGGCAGGCTGCGTGGAGGAGGGTTGTCGGGTTGGCAGTGGCAGCCGGGATTAGCACTCCCGGAATGTGTGCCAGTTTGTCATATTTTGACACTTATCGGCGGGGTAGGCTTCCGGCCAACCTTGTTCAGGCTCAGAGGGATTTGTTTGGGGCTCATACCTATGAGAGGGTGGATCGCCCCGGGGCCTTTCACACCGAGTGGACGAAGCTAGCTCAGAAGAGCGGTTCTGGCGTCGGTGCACTCAATTGAGGTGTTGTTTGCTAGTTTGATTTGGATTAGATGGTGGTTGTTTTGATATTCAAATTTGAATGGTGTATGTCTCTTAGGGTTGGAGGCTTCTTTGCTTAGGCATAGCGATCATTGCTTTACCCTTGATTAATAAGAACTGCATATGCCTTTTTTGAGTTCAATAAGCTTATGATTTGCCTCCATTGTTCACGTATTGTCGTGTTTTTATTCGATAAATGGAGAGCACTTTTAGGTTTATAAGATAAAAAGCTTTCACTTTCTTATGTGTATGGCAATCATGCTGCTTGAACTTGCAACTGGTAGATTAGAGCTAACTATTTCTCTAGTCAGATGATGGTTAAGCATTGACCTAGTCGAAGGCTTACGTTAGTAAAAAAAATGGCACCTCAAAATTTCCAACTTACCCACGACATGCTTAGTGATTTTGACACTCTTTTTATACTTTTTCAACTCCTCTTCTTCTTGATCCTCTATTTATTCAAAGGAGTGCTGGACTCTTGTTATAGTGTCCTCCGTGATTGTAGTCGGATATTGAATCTTGCAGAACAAGGGTACTCTAGTAAGAGTAAATTGTAGCAATGGTTTCTCAACTTTAATCAAATTAGAGTAATGGTCCCTCAGCTAAAATTTATTACCATTGGTTCCTCAACTCATTAAAATGGATAGCTATGGTCATTTTCGTCAACTTCGTCAGAATTTTATCAAAATAAGTTATGTTGGAAGGATCATTGCTACAATTGGGGTTCCTCAACTCCTCTTCTACTTGACCCTCTATTTATTCAGAGGAGTGCTGGACTCCTCTTGTTATAGTGTCCTCCGTGATTGTAGTCAGATATTGAATCTTGCAGAACAAGGGTATTCTAGTAAGACTAAATTGTAGCAATGGTTCCTCAACTTTAATCAAATTAGAGTAATGGTTCCTCAGCTAAAATTCATTACCATTGGTCCCTCAACTCATTAAAATGTATAGCTATAGTCCTTTTCGTCAACTTCGTCAGAATTTTATCAAAATAAGTTCCGTCGGAAGGATTATTGTTACTTATGTTGGAGGGACCATTGCTATAATTGAGTTAAAGTTTGAGGGACCATTGCTCCAATTGAGTTAAAGTTGAGGGACTATTTCACCGGTTGGATTAAAGTTAAGGGACCAATGGTAATTGATTTTTAGTTTAGGGACCAATGGTAATTGATTTTTAGTTGAGAGACCATAGCTACATATTTTGATGAGTTAAGGCACCAATGCTAATGAATTTTTAGTTGAGGAATCATTGCTCCAATTGAGCTAAAGTTAACATTGCTACAATTTAATCTTCTGGTAATCATACTGATTTGAAATTCCGATTCAGTTGAATTAGTAGAGAACTTTATACAGTCAATATCATTGGCTCTTATTCTGCTTCTAGAAAATTTTAGTAAACAACTTGAATGGGAGTTCAGATGATTCCTTCCAAATCCAATTCTTAAATCCGACTACGGACGAGTAAAACAGCTAAAAGATTGTGCGCTGTGGATTTTCTCTTTGGGCAGAAAACGAAACCGGGTATCACGGAGAGTTCTGAACAGATAAGAAGCCGCCAACTCTACCCCTAAATCGAAGGCCTAAATCAAAGGCGAAGGGAATTAATATATAAATCGCTCCACAGCTGACATGATCACAAAACATGGAAAAACAATTCATGGTCTGATCTTTCAGTTTGGTGCAGTAAGACTTGGCACCAAGCTTTTCTTGATGAATTAGTTCAGGGTCGACCAGAGAGCCATGCGCCATGGCTAATGAACCATGGTTGCTTCAAGCACAAGGGAGAACTTTTCAGCGTAATGGAGCCCTCTGATCTTTTGAATACACGAATGTACTCAGTCGGAAACAACATCAGAGGAGAAGCAAGAAAGTTGTTCATGAACGCGAAAGTTTGCGCCTCGAAATATGGTTGGTTGCTTCTCTCAAGAAAGCTGAAAGTAGATGTAGATCAATATGGTAGTTCATATATATTCTGGTTCGATAATCCTTTTCGGAACAAGATTATCAGTCTTCACCTTTGGAACTGAGGTACAAAACCCAGACATGTAGCCACATTCACCGCTGCTCCAACTACTACAATGGCGATTGTGTTATTTTTGTCCTGGCCAGAAGACTCACTGATGTTCATATCCTAAGCTCCGATAACACCAGGGATAGAACATGGAATGAGATTTATACAACTGATCCTATTGACGAGGAAGCAAGGGAGTTGCCCTATATGGATGGAACTTTGTTTTGTATTTTCCGTTGGAGCTCCCTAATCGGTGCTTTCAATCAATGTTGCACTCCAAGTCTGGGACATGATGGATTGCTCCACCATCGCCATCAACAATATGAGCAACAGATCATGCGAGTTTTACTTGGTTGAAGTTTTCTATGGAAAAGTCTATTTGATAGCTGAAGAAACACATGATAGTTGGCATGCTTTTGAGTATAACGGTTCAAACAAGAAATGGGTTCAGATCGAAAGCTTCAGAGAGATGTTAAAAAATGGAGCAGTATTTCTGGAGTGCCCTTCATCTGTTGCACCAGAGGTCCCACAAGAAGTAGAGTTTGGGCGTCAATTAGCAGAGAGCCGGGTAATTACATCTCGCTTACTACGTAGAAGATTTGATGCTTTTCTACTAGATGATTTCAAAACCAATTGCACACCAGGGTGTGATATAATTATGGATTGGGTATATAATAAATATTTGAATACTTTGATTCAACATATTCCAGAAACTGACCGTGATCATGAAGATGGAAAGTGGAGAGTACGAGGATGGTGTGGTATGCAAGACGTGGGAGCAAGATTTTCTTGATGGGGTAGTTCAAGGTCGTCTTGAAAACCATATGCCATGGGTAATGAACTATGGTTGCTTCAAGCACAAGAGAGAAATGTTCAGCATATTGGCGCTCTCTTATCTTGTGGCTAAACGCACTCACTCGGTTGGGAACATCATCAGAGAAGAAGTAAGAGAGTTATTTGTGGAAACAAAAGTTCGCGCTTCAAAATATGGTCGGTTGCTTCTCTCAACAAAAGGTAAAAGTAGAGTATGGCAGTTCGACAACATTCATTTTCTATAAACCTTTCCGGAACAAGATTATCCCAACTAACCGGACGAACTATGAACTATGCAATTTTTACTCGGTTGAAGCTTCCTATGGGAAGGTCTATTTGGTAGCTGAAGGTTATCGTGACGAGTGGTATGCTTTCGAGTATGATATGATGATTCAAACAAGAAATTGTTGAGGTAAAAAGATTCAGAAAGATGTTCAAAAATCGTGCACTGTTTCTGGAATGCCCTTCATCTGTTGCAATTGAGGTTGCACCAGAAGCAGATTTTTTGAGTCAATTCGAGGGAAGCCGGACAGTTCGTTCTAACTCACTAAAGTTGATATGTGATGATTTCAAAACCAATTGCAAACCGGCAAGTGATATAATCAAATGTTGGGCCTCTAGTAAACATTTTCTAACGACAAATTTGATTCAACTTATTCCAGAAGTCAGTCATGATCATGGAGATGCTGAAGATGATAATGATACTCGGATTATTTCTCTTCCTCGGAGGGCATCCCTTTCCGTTCTGTTGGAGGAGAATGGCAGGACAAGGAAAGAGTGGGAAAAGGAGATGGAGTGGGAGAACGAGATGGGAGAGGAGGAGAACGGATACCACTCTATATGATATGGAGATGTATTTGCTCAAGGAGAGGGAGAGGGAGACGGTGAGAAAGAGGGAGATGAAGAGAAAGTGGGAGCTGGAGAGGGAGATGATGTTGGATATTGAGTTGGAAGGGCTGATTGAGACGAAGAAAGGGAGGGGGATGGACATGTTATTGTGCATGGAGATGGAGAGTGAGGTGGAAACTGAAATGGAACGGTTGATGCAGAGGGAGAAGAGGAGAGGGATGAATGTGTTATTGCGTATACTGTAACGCTTCGAGAAAAACTTGGGAAAGGAGTGCCCCTCCCACGTATGGACGCCTTGCAAGTTTATTTATGATTCAGATTCTGTAACACACGTCATATTTTTGGACGGTGCACGCCACTCAACACGCCGCATTAGGTATCTCACTAATATTCGGAAATAAGTGCAATCATTCGTAAACTGGACGAGAAAGATGTGAAGGTGAAACTACACTTTCTGGAATATGTCAAGCAGAGATAATGGAGATCAAATCTTAATGCTTATTTTTTCATGCCAATCATCCAAATTTACAATTCCATTCAATACTTATTGCCTTTGTTCAAACAAGTACCTTCTGATTTACCTTCAGATGAAGTGATCCGATGAACCGCGGCATGGATAACCATTCTCAAGAGCTGGCATTGTTCTTGTAAATGCAGCAGAAGGCATTTTACTACCGTAAACCCATCTGTTTTCGAGAACCAAATCCTCTTCAGCTTGTTTCTCCATTGTTTCAATCTTCTTTGTCCTTAGACGCTTCAACAATACAATCCCAACGTAACCCGCCACAACTATCAGAGGAAATCCAAGCACGAACCCTATAACCCACAAATGCTCCATACTTCCTTTTCTCTTGGACGGAACAACGATCAAAAAATGACCTTGCTCTGTGGTGCAACACACACCAGGTGATCTCATTTCGCTGAGGGAAACCGTCCCATTGTCAGAAAATGATGCACATTTTGCCGCTGCGCTTGTTCTTCTGTCCAATGTGAGATTCGGAAACTGAACCAGTATAGGTTTCCCCATCGTGTTGAGGCCGAGCTTTGTGGTGCTTTTCGAGCTTGTATTCGAAGCATCATAAACCGTAAAACCAACAACAGAAGAGACTAGTGAGTAACCTGGAAGAGGGTAGTAGTGAGATGACCAGTTGCCCAAATTTTGATGCACAAAAGCCAGTCTCTTCACATGAGGCATTGGCACGGTCCTTGATGGAATTTTGAAGCAGCTGAAATTAGTAGCACCTCTATTCCACAACCGCCGGGTTAGGAGCCTCACTACGGAGACTTCCATGCCGGATAGATTAGCGGGGAGGACAGCCTTGTACAGAACGCCGGTGCGAGCCCGGCGCTCTGCAAGTGCCTTGAAGGCCAAATCTCTACTAAACACATCCAAAGACTCAGTAGTAGAGTTGCTCAAGCAGCGAACACATGAAAAAAGTAAAAATGTGAAGAAGCAAAAGCAAATTGAATTTGTGCTCATTTTTCGGATTCTCTAAACAATGCAGCTGAAAATATGTTTTAGCCTTCTTTCTATCAGGAGTTGTGCTACTTGAAGGGATTCTTAATTAGAATTTGGCTTTTGGAGAAAGTGCTTTTGCGAGTGTATGATTATGTGTTTTCTGCAAAAGAGAGTCAGCATGCTTAAGTGGTCCCAGAGGGGAAGGGCTTTTTTCAACATCTTTCACCAAACGTTTCTCTTTGACTTTTGTCAGATTGAACAACAAAGATACCGTGGCAGTTCACAGAGGAGAATCCAATCCAAGTTAAGTGCTTTTGAGAACTAATTTAATGTGGATTATTTGGAAAGAAGAAAGAAAATCTAGGTCAATTGAATGCTGGTGGGAGTAGCACTTATTAAGCATAAACGACATGCGTTGATTGCTCTCCTATGCTAAAATGGTGGTGATTTAGGCTGATTTCTGCTAGGGGGTAATGATTTAGGCAAACAATAAAAGCTATGGAATGATGGATTGGACCTCATACTTGATTGTTATGTTCATAGTTTGACTTTGTACTAATTTTGTAATGCATTTGATTACACAAGACTTTATTTGGCATCCTAACCTCTTTTTTTTCTTCTTAGACCATCTGGTTTAGAATTAAAACACGATATATAAATACACGAAAAAATGAAAAACTGTATCATGATTACAAATGATAAATTTTTTTAGAAATGGACAGAAGTACAAAACCCAAATCCACAAGGCCACCTCATTGGGCCTACAAAATACAACACAAAAAAAAAAGATGGGGCCAACAAAATAGGTAGAACCAACCCCAAAAACACAAAGCCCAAATAATGTTTTTATAAGCAAAACCCAAATAACACGCAACCCAACAAAAAATAGAACGGTAAAACATATGACAACATGGCAAGTGCCTTACTTGAAACATTTGAGAAAGAAAATAATTTATGTGCAAATTTTTTTTTACTTTTTATACATCCCTTCTTAATTTTGGACCTTGGTCTTCTTGATTTATTCAATCTAGTGACTAAAAGAACAGAAATGAACAGGAGGTGAAAAAAGAGTATATAAAGCATTTCTCTTGAGAAATTAGAGACTGGGTGATATAAGGTCTAAGAAAATCGAAGGGAATGGAGGTTAAGGATTTGATAGATTAGTAAAGGAGGAAGAACAAGGAGGAAGATAAAAAGGAGTGAAGAGAGGCATAAGTCTATAGGGTTGAGTGGAAGACAAACATGTTGAGTCTATAGGGTGAACATAGTTTTAAAAGACGCTAGCCTGATATCATAACTCATGTTAATTTTAGAAATAAAATGTGAGTATGTGCCACCACACATTTGAGTGATTTTTCTAAACCCAACCGCACCTATCTAATCTGATCGAGTCACTTTGAAAGCTTACTAAACACTAGATCGTAGTATTAAATTTTATTTTGTAAGTGCACATTTAGAATTTTGAAGTGCTTTTTTGTTTTTTGTTTTTTAAATTTATTTATTTATGTTTGTTGGAAATTAGTTTAATTTAAAAAAAGAACAATGTTTAGCTACTTTAAGATGAGTAAAAACTCATACTCAAAATTTCTCAAAATTGTTCGCTGTCAATTTATAGAACTCCGCATTTATATTCATAACGTTCAAATTATAAATCATCTTATAAAAATTGCTTCTACAAAAAATCAATTAAAAATAAGATTGTTTAGTCATCAAACTGCTTGAAAAACAAATGAACCGTATTGATAAAAGTATTATGAACTGTCTATGCATTTATTATAATAAATTAACTAAACGATCCAAATTTTAATTTATTTTTTACATTAAAACACTAAAAAAGAGTTTTAAGTATGAATTTCTATTGATCTGTTCATCAATATTGTTTTCAAAAAAATTACAACTTGTTTACACATTGCGGGAAGGGTTTTGCAGTGCAACATGAGGAAAGCGAACGTCAATCTCTCCCGTCCTCGGATTGTTACGAACTCGGACGCATCACCGAGAGGGCTCGCCGGCGAGTCGGTCGGCTCCGACAACGAGGTCCAAGACTTCGCCTTCGCATTTAACGACATAAAATTTTCCAATCAGGTTATGTTGATCGAAATTGTAACCTATTCGTCGGAAGGCAAATTGGAAGTCGTCGAATGCTCTGCCGTCTCCTGTTGGGCGCGCGTAACAGAAAGCGACAGAGGGCGGAGATTAAGAGAGACAATGGTATGTGTTTAATTTTGCCCTTCAAATTTTGAATTTTTTCGGTGCTTGGTTGATGGTGGTTTGGATGGAGTTAGGTTTGTTTGGTATCTGTGAAGAAAATTGGAAATTGAAGGAGACATTTGGTCTTTAGCGTTTTCTTTCCGAAAATTTCGAGTCTAGTTGATGGGTAGTGTGTGCCTTGACAGTGCTCAAGGGGGTGCATTGGGAATTGGATTAATTTTGGTCGATAGATTTTAGGGTTTGCGAAATATGAAGTATTCGATAGTTTCCGAAGAACGACATGAAGCGTGGTTTTGTTAATTTGGAGAAAATGAGAGTTTATATACTTTTAGTTTAGAGTTTGATAGTGTTGAAGAATGGGGTAACAGTTTAATTATTTACGACCATTAGGATGGGTGGTGCGACTCGTGTCTAATAGCATGAGTTTTGCAATGCTTTATTGGTTAAAGATTGTTACATTATACCGCTTTGTTTTTTCGTGATTGTTTTTTGTTGGATTCATGATTGTTAACAAGTTAATTTTTGTGGTAAAGTACAAAAAACTACCTCAACTATTGATGTCACGATACTTTCATACTTCATCTTTTAAAATTGACAATATCATACCTCATCTTACGAATTTGTGCCAATGTCAGACCTCTGTCAAATTTTCAGTTACTTCTTCGGTTAAATGCTGACGTGACCAGAGACCGGACCAATTTTTTATTAAAAAATTAATTAAAAAATAAAAAATTAATTAAATATTAAAAATTAAAAAAAAAAAACAAAAAAAAAAAAAAAATCCATCAACCCGTGTCCCTTTCCCCAAAAACCCAAATCCCTTTATCTAAGTTCTCTCCCACCCAACCCTCTCTCTTCTCTCTCTCGCCTCTCTCTCTTCTCTCTCCCTGCAACCTGCATCCCTAAAATCCAAAAACCCAGAAATCCTTCCCACCTGTTCCCCCCAACCTTCCTCTACGATCGCACCGACGACAACCCTACCTCTATCGTTGATTCCAGCGATGACAGCCACGACCCCCAATCGCCCCCAAACCCTAACTCTAGCCACAACCTCCACAACAACATTCCCTTATCCTCCTCGCCCCCGGAGTCTGCCCCTCCGGCGATTTGCGAGAGGAAAAAAAAACAATAACAACAACAACAATCCCAATAGAAAAACTCTCCGTTTTTCCTAGAAAATTTCGAGATTTTCCGAGAAAATCAGAGGAAGCGCAAGAAACATAGAGAGAGCTGTGATCTAAGAGTGGCTCTCTTTGGTCAGAGTTTCCGATAAATGGTGTATATAGGCGGGTTGGATGAGGAGGAGAGAGTGGAGGTGAAGTCCATGGCGATGGGTTCTGAGAGGGTGAAGCCTCTGCACAATTTCAACTTGCTGTGGTATTTGAAGTGGGGGAACCAGAAGCACCTGTGGTGCCAGAAGGAGAGCTCCAACACAAGCGGGAGTGGCGGGGAAAGGTCTGGGGTTAATCGGCAATCGTCGGCTCAGAGGATTGAGAGCTCGCCGGCAGTGATGACTTGGGTAGGAATAGTTTCTGGGTTTTGTGATTTTAGGGATGCAGGTTGTAGGGAGAGAGAAGAGAGAGAGAGAGGCGAGAGAGAGAGAGGGGGTTGGGTGAGGGAGAACTCAAAGAAGGGGATTTGGGTTTTTGGGGAGGGGAACACGGGTTGATGGTTTTTTTTGGTTTATTGTTTATTGTTTTTTTTTATTTATAATTTTTTAATATTTAATTTTTTTTTAATAAAAAATGGGTCCCGTTTCTGGCCACGTCAGCATTTAACAGAAAAACTGACGGAGGTCTGATATTGGCACAAATTCATAAGATGAGGTATGACATTGTCAATTTTAAAATATGAGGTATGAAAGTGTCATGACACCAATAATTGAGGTAGTTTTTTGTACTTTACCCTAATTTTTGTTAAGAGGATGATCTTGCTGAAGAAAGGAGTAATAGTTTGAATGCCTAAAACCAGTTATGGAATTGGTGCTACCTAATTATAGGGGTTTGGCAGTAACGTATTTGTTAATATATAATGATAAGTTGGTGGTGTAATGGCTTTCTACAGTTGCCTCTGTTTAACAAGTATTCCTTTTTTATTTCTAGGTTTCTTCTTTCCTTTTTACCCCTGTTGTATGCCTTTAAATTTCTGAGTTTCTAATCGTATGCGTGCATCAGGACACCTATCGTGATTATTTGAGTTTTTAAGTTATTGGAAAAAAGCATTGTTTAGTCCTTAGATTCAATGTGAATGTGCATGTTTCTGATTTGGAGTGTAATTGCTCTTTAGCTCTTAGTTGAGGACATTCCTGTGCACCGTGTGGGGCAGGTCTTAAATTGTGACATGCCAGATGCAGAGGATAATGTGGTATTTGAAAATCAAGACGACGAAGCTGGAGCAGTGAGTGAGTTTCCTTCCACCGTGGGAGTAATACATTCTTTTGGTCTCTGTTGTTAGTATGTACTCTCCAATCTGCCAGAACTGGAATAATTGTATGAACCTTTTTTTCTTTAATAAAATGTTCAAAACTAAGCAAACACTCCTAAGATATACAGAGCATAAAGTTTGTTTGCTTCCTAGACTGCTGTAGTGATTTTACATGCAAATCTACCTTTTTTAGAAGACATGCAATTCTACTTTATTCAATGTCAAATAGCACGAAATTATTGCATTTGGATTACGTATGTGGCTTGTGTTATTTCTTGGTCGCCGTCGCATTTGTTAACTGATTATGGTAGGACTTTGACAATTTACTAGAAAATTTTGTAGGAGACGACTTTTCGTGGAACCTGAACTGTCATACGGTTGTTAAGGTTAGAACCTTACTGGTCAGTTCTCCAATCTTGGCAGCAAAGAGTCCATTTTTCTATAAGGTGAGGATCCTGTCGTGGTGATTGCTGCTTTTGCTCGGTGGCTGTCTACACTTGCTCACTTGTTCTAATTTTGCTTCGCTAGTTGTTTTCAAATGGGATGAGAGAGTCAGAGCAACGCCAAGTATCTCTAAGAATTCATGAATCTGGTATTTTCTCCTGTATTATATTATCAGCTAGTTGAAAATATTGGACCATCCTTATAAGGAAATTGGGAACTGTAATTATGCTACATCTTAGCCTTCTCTAATAGTAAATACACTTTCTTTCTTTAATACAACTGCAGAAGAAGCGCCCCTTATGGAAGTTCTTAATTTCATATATAGTAACACCTTGTCTGCGATGACACCTACTGCTTTGTTGGACGTGTTCAAGGTTGCTGACAAATTTGAGGTGGCATCTTGCATGAGATATTGCAGTAGGTCATTACTCAAGTTGCCAATGACCCGCGAGTCTGCTTTGCTATATTTGGATCTTCCATCTGGTATTTTGATGGCAGATGCAGCAAAGCAGTTTCTTGCTGGACACTATAAAGAGATAACCAAGTGAGATTCTTTTATAAAACACTAGTTTCTTTTACTGAAGTTTTAAAGTCTTATGATCCTTGTCAGTTTCCACCTGTTTGTGAAGGCTCTCTTGTTTGTGTAATGTTTCTTTAAATAAGTTGGTGGAGCTTTTTATTTCCTCAACTTGTAACCACCTTTTCTTCCTTGTTTTCCAATATTGATATTTACTTAGATGGTCTGAATTCTTGGAAAGCATTTTCCTTCCGTTTCGCTTGATTAAATCAGTCAATGTTAAGTGATTTATGTATGTTATCTTTATAACGTAAATTGCATATTCTGGAGTATAATTCTTGAATTGTCAAATATATGACCAGGTTCCAGGATGAGGTGTTGAGCTTGCCCCTGGCCGGTATTGAGGCTGTACTGTCTGGTAATGATCTCCAGGTGGCGTCAGTGGATAGTATTTATGATTTTGTGCTAAAATGGTCTCGGACCCATTACCCAAAACGAGAAGAACGACGCAAAGTCCTTGGCCAACACCTTGGTCGGCTCATTCGTTTTCCACACGTCTTGCCGAAAGCTTAAGAAGGTCCTAACCTGCAGTGACTTTGATCCTGGACTTGCAACAAAGATAGTGTTGGAGGCTTTGTTTTTTAAGTCTGAGACACCGCACAGGCAGCGCACCCTAGCTGCAGCGGATGCCAATGCTGCCTTTCGTTGCTTTGTGGATCTGTCTTACAAGTACCGGCCAGTCAAGCTGGTGGAATATGTAGAACCCCGTCTACAGTGTACTGTGTTCCTGGACCTAAAGCGCGAGAGTGTGGACGTTTGTTCCCAGCAGGCCGGGTGTACTCACAGGCTTTTTTCCTTGGTGGGCAGGGATTTTTCTTGTCAGCCCATTGTAACATGGACCAAAAAAGCTTATTTCATTGCTTTGGGCTGTTTTTGGGGATGCAAGAGAAGGGATCGGCTAGTTTTACTGTTGACCATGAGTTCTCAGCAAGATCAATACTATGAGTGATTAGCTGCCCCTCTGATCCTTTGGAAAACCTGCAACAACTGACCCTGATGCGCAACCTACGCTATGATGGGTTTCTTGTGTTTTTTTTTTTCAAAGACTCAGGGCAAAACAAAAAAAAAAAAAAAAAAAGAACAAAGAAAAAAGAAAAAGTAAGTTGATGCGATGTCATTTCATTTATATATACATGTATATATATAGCATAAGAGGGACCACTCGTTTCCTATAACCACGATCGAATTGGAGACAGACTCCAGACAAAAAGAAGGTAGAACCTTTTGCCATTGGTCCAAGCTCTATCCAAGCAGCAGCCAGCAGCCTTCGCCCTCCTCCACGAGTCATCACCCTCCATGCCGCAGCCAGTCGCCAATCCCCACTGTTTGGGTTAATATTTGAACATTGAACGTAGAGGAAGAGAAGCCCAATAATACCTAATTAAAGGAGATTTCCCCGAAGCCCAGCACCAAGCCCAGAAGCAAATTGAAGCCTTCTCAACCAAAAAGCAAGCCACGTGCTTACCATTGAAGTGACAAGTGATGGAGACTAACTACTAGCCAAAGAACACTTTCTAGTGGCATTACAAGTAAAAAGCTGATGACTCACTACCCTTCAAATGCTTTTGGGCAAGAGTAAAGTCACAACAGTCGTGCTAATTTGCCTATAAAAGGAGGAAGAGGCCCCAGAGACAAGGATACTCAACCAATCAAACAAACAAACATACAAACTCTGCTCTCAAGCTAGATTTGCATCCAAAAGCTGTAATCAGCCCAGATCTCAAATCTTTTTAGCGACAAGCTATATCTTGTCTAGATTTCGTTAGAAAGCCCATCTTTCTCTAGTTTAAAGCTCTACTACCTTCAACCATCGTAGTTTTGATTCCCTTGTGTAAACGTGTTTACCATCCATCCCTTTTTAGCATATAAACCCTTGTTAACACAAAGAGAAGTGACTACAAGAAGTTCAACCTTGACAGACAAGGTGAAATCTTGTCTGAAACTCTTTGTTTGTTTTCTGGATTTGTAGATCTATTACTTAATGCATTCTCCAACATGTATTCAAGTTATTTCCATTAGTTTTCCTACTTTAAGAGTCTCATTTGCATTTGAATCTGGTTCATTTAATGGTCATTAAAATCAATCGAGAACCAAGTAAATGACTTAAGGGGATCTAGACTCCCTTCTTTTGAACATACAAGACTATGAACTAAAATTCCTTGTTTGCAAGGCAAGAAAAAAAACTTAATGTAGACTTAACCCATCCATGGCAATCCTTTGATAATAAGAAGTCCGAGTAATTTGGGGTGCAAGTAATCGACTAAACACACTTTTGTTCTACATTTGCTAAACTGAGATAGCAGTGGCACGCCTAGCACTAAGTTAGTTTTGATTGCAAGCCTTAAGGCCTACACTTAAGGCCCCACAAAGGCACCTTTCATAACTAACTTTGTTCTCTTCTTGTAGCACATCAACAAGCAAGAGCCCGACTACACCTCTAAAGTGCCAATCCCTTGGGGAGCTGTGTTAAGGTCCGAGGATCCTTCTCCAAAGAAATCTTCACCTGAACACCCACCACTGGGCATAACCAATTTTGAGGTAAATCCTAATTTTTTAAATTAAACCACTATGATAATGTAATATGAAATTTTGTTTAATTATATAGACTTACAGTGTAATAAGGTTATTGATTATTAATGAATTGAATTGTTGATTGTTGATTTAATTGAATTGGTGATTATTGAATAATTTATAGGGAACTTTAACGAAAAGTTCCCGGTACTGTTCACTTTAACGAAAAACCACATTTTTACACTAAAAAGTCATGGTACTATTCATTTTACCTTTTATTTTGTCCTTATCATTAAAACTCAAGGTTTTCAAGCCCTTTTTATTAGTTTTCCTCAAATTTTTTATATGATTTTTATTATTGATTAATTGAATTGTTGCTTTACTTAGTTATTAGTCATAGTAGTCTCTAGGATTAAAAGTCTTAAGACCTTTTTTCATTATATAGTTACATAATGGAACAATACTCTAAGAAACAGTGCTAAATCCTCCTTCAAATATTTCAGGTATTCCTTCTCAGAATATTCCCGGTAGTCCTCCTTCGAATATTCTGGGTATTTAACAACAAAGTGATGTAACTGAATTAGATGAAATATTGGTTAATCTTCATGCAAATCCTAGACTTAGACCTCAAATGATCGATTATGAGACTAATTATTGCGAAAAAAAAATTCATAGACACTATCTACAAAAGGATCATTGTCAACTTAAAACCCATAAAAAATGCCAAGAAAAGTTATAGGGAAGGACAATCGATGATTTATCACCCGTTGGTTTGATAATTTTGGGTGGTTGAAATAAAGTATAACAAATGATGCTGCATTTTGCGTTTATTGCTATCTTTTCAAATGTGATTTTGATAAAGTAGGAAATGCTGGTAGGGATGTCATCACTGAGATGGTTGAAGTCTTCATAGTAAATCTTCACAACAAGGTAGAGATTTGGTGACACAAAAGCAACATATTGAAACTTTTGTGATCAAGCAAACGAATGAAGCTTTCATTAATCACATTTTTTTTAGTGACGCACTTGATTGCACTAGATAATTGTTGCCACAATGTCTTCCTATTCGTGCCCATGATGAGTCGTTGAAATCAAGCAATAAAGGTAATTAAATGGAGCTTATGCAATTTCTTGTCAATCATGATGAAAAAGTTATGAATGTTGCATTTGCGAATGCTCCTAAATATCTCAAGTGTATTTCTTCCAATTTCAAAAAATCTTGTACAAGCTTATGCCTTTGGTACAATCATTAAAGGTATGGACGATAGGGTTTTTTCTGTTTTGGTTGATGAATCACGTGTTGTTTCAACTCAAGAACAACATTGGTATTCGTTATATGAACAAAGGAGAAGTAATTGAAAGGTTTTTGGGTCTTTAATGTGTCTCATATACAACTAGTATCAAACTTGAAGAGGTCATTGAGAGATTGTTTGCTACAATAAATTTGAGTATGTCTAAGTTACGAGGACAAGGCTATGATGGAAGTAGTACTATGAGAGGTGAGCTAAATGGTCTTAAAACAAATATTTTGAGCAAATATCCTTAAACATTTTATGTTCATTGTTTTGCATATGAACTTCAACTAGCTTTTATAGCCGTAGCAATGGGAAATGAGGATGCTGCCACTTTCTTCATAACTGCAAGCAATTTGGTTAATATTATTGAATCCTCGTGTAAGCACCGTGATGCATTTAGAGGGAAACAACAAAAAAATTAAGAAGACTCTTGATATTGGTGCTCTTGAAATAGGGAAACAATTATTATAATAGTCTTATACGTCATTGTGGTATACGTTGGAACTCACATTATGGTACTGTAATTAGTATTATTGTTATGTTTTAACCTATAGTGCAGGTGGATTAAAGGTGATTGCAACCAAGATAATCTAAGTGAAACAAATACGTTATTAAAAAAAATACAAAGTTTTGATTTTGTGTTTCACCTTTTTT